CACACACACACACACACACACACACACACACACACACAAAACCCCCCATATTTAAAATATTTCTGGAGGTGCCTTTGCATAAAACAAACTGATGAGATCATCTATCTATAAAATAAAGTGTATTTTATTTTAAGAGCATCATCAATTATTCTAAGAGTAAAAGTCCCAAATGATGAAAGATTTCTTGTTTTTGAAGAGACTCACATTGATCTGGTCTTTGAGGCTTTCTGCCTCCTTTCTCAGTTGCTCCATTTCACCCATGGTGATTGGTGGTCCTAGGCGTCACCAGTGGAGACCAGTGGAGATGTCAGCAAAGCTTGGAATCCTGAAATCCACAAAAAGAGGCAAAGTTCCTTCACGAAATAAGCAAAAATAAAACCTAAAGAAATAGTGGCTGGTACCTTTCTTTTATCTTCCTGCGCTACACTTCATGCTGAAATTAAGCCTACCTGAGCTTGTTGTCTTTTCCTTGCACCAGACTCCAAGTAAGTTCTATTTTGCAAGCCAAACAAGCCCTCGTCTACTTTGCATACTTTCGTAAATACACAGGAACTCGCAGAGAAACCCACAGGACACACCTTCAGGTGAACACACTTACACACACTCACACACACACATAAGTGGACTGTATGAAAAGTCAAATGAGACGTTAAGAGTAAAAGTTTGCTCTTGGAATGATACAACGTTTGAGTGTACACATCCTCACCCTGAATGTACACACAAACCTGTCGGTCCTGAGACGACGTCACGACAGGATCAGCTCCTTCTCTAATGCAGATAAGACAGTTCACACAGTCTGACACTCTGCTGAGCCCTCACATCATGGTGATGGCTATTAAATTTGGTAATGTCGTGATTACTGTAAAATGGGCAAGTCAACCAATCACCTAATGGTCCAACTCATGCAGTGTGACAAATGTAATCAGCACACAGGAGGAGAGGCAGAAACACCAAAACCAGAGGAGTTCAAAGAGGACATGTTGAACATGTGGACAAACATTTCATTTCTTTAAAAAAAAAAAAGTCAGGAAACTAGTTCCTTAAACTTACCTTGAAATTTTAATCTTGATTTTATTTGTCCCTTCAGCAATCTCTAACTCACTCACTCTTTCACTATTTGAATGCAAGTCATTGTCATAGCACAAGTGGATTTGCCTCTAATTTGTTTAAAGAGAAAAAAGGAGGGGGAGAGGAGGGAAACAATCCAAATGGAAAGATTTAGAGAAGTGAGCTGGGCTGAAATTAAATTTTAAAAAGTCATGAATCGAGGCCTTCACAGCAGCAGCAGCAGCTTTGTAAAACTAACTTTCTCTGTTCCASATGTGAAAACTGCTTCACTGAGAGTTTTTGTTATGTTATGTCCCAGGACCCCCTTCCACCACCACCCCTCCTCTGATACCTGCGGGGTGTCTGTGATGGTGAAGGGCTTTAACCCAGTAGGAGGCTGGTGGGAGGCGAGGCTGTGCGATAAAGAGGTGGAGGGGAAGAGGCGAGACAGGAGGGCGAGTTTTAAATCCAACTGGCTGAGATTTTAAAGGATGCCTTTTGAATCAAATCTGCTCTCATCCGATTATTGACTGCTCTTTACATCTGGATAAGAGATGGAGAAAGGGATGGGGGAGAGGATAGTGGGGTGAGATGGAGGAAAGATGGCAGATGGACGGAGGCTGAATGGGAGAACTGGAGCGAGATTTTTTTTTAATTCTTTTTGTTTGTTTTTGGACCGGGCCTACAGATTTAGTTGCATATTTATCCCAACAGAGAACAGAACATGCCTTTAAAATTCAGGCTTCACTGCAGAATTTTTTGTTTTTATTATTATTATTGTTATTTTTGCAAAAGCACTTTATTCATTTACAGTTTCCAAATGTATTTAAAAAATAGACAGAAAATTAAATATCTTTACTGTTCTCCAGCAAATTTCCCTCTTCTATTAAATGTAAGAAGTTTTGTCTTATTTTCACTTTAAAATTAAAGCATAAATAAAACAAACTTATTCAGTTTTGATCATACCAAGTGTATCTGACAGTATTAAGAGTCCCACAATAAAGGGAATTTGCTTTTAACACAGATTATGAGTCCATAAGATAATACCAGCATATCACTCGCATTTAAATCCCCTTGTTGCTTCTGTCATAAAAGAATCTGAGACACTAATATTTGCACAGAGTTTTGTAGTGATATAATGTTGAATATGTATTAATATTGAATGTTTTCATATAAGATTTCAGTTTGAGAGTGTGTCGCCTTAAAAGAATCTTTCCAGCTTCAGGACGAAGAGCAAGAACATAAAACAATTTAAAGATTTTAACTAAATGGAACAAAAATGTTCTTCTAAAAGTTATTTTTGGTTTGCACTATTTGTTTTTCCTCACCTTTAGGTTTGCTTGTGAGCTCTGAATCAGAACTGAAGGTGGAAAAGTGAGTCAGGAGCAACACATGGAGCAAGCACTCACCCGTCCAACGCTCCTCTCAAGCTGGATCTTTAATCGATCTTCCTCCTGCGATCAAACTCAGGGTGTTCAGCCCGCGGGTCACCACTGTCTCCTTTACTCATTCAACCTGTAGTGCCTCACACACTCACACACTCACACACACACTCACAGACACACACACATACACACGGGATGCTTCTCTGTCACTGACTCGGTCCACTGCTGCTATGAGGAACAGATGAGGATTGGAGGGATGAAGGGAGATCAGTGATGAGGGGATAAAACCCGGGATGGACAGAGAAGAGGAGCAGGAAGAGAGGGAGGGGGGTAGTGGAGGTAAAAGAGGCAAAAAAATATTACAACTGGGAGACAGTGAGGGAAACCAAACATGGCTGTGGGGGTCACAGGACCTGAGCAGGGATAAATTGGAGTCAGGGATGGAAATAATAATATTGTGGAGGTGGATGGGAGGAGGGTGGGGG